TAGGGGCGCGTATCTCGCATCATTACATATTTGAAAATATGTACTATAAATTTCGTTTAATTATAGTAAAGTCCACTAAGAACTTTGAAAGTGGCATTGCATATTATCTGACAATCACTATCAGTTTTACGCTGATAGCAATCTCTCGTGTGTTTCTGAGGAAAACCGGTTCTCGCCTGGAGGCTCGTAGACCCAACGCTTTCACGTAGCTATTCGATTATCCTTTTAACTATTTTCGGGGAATTTTCGAGAGAGCTAGGGGGTGCATATAGTACGGTTTACGAAAATTAGTTTTGTTCGCGACTTTAGGCTTTTAATCCTCTTAAGTCTTATAAATATCGAGCCAGGAAAATCCAGCGTTTACAGTTAATTCGATTAACGTTGTAATATTGAATATTATGTAAGTATGTAACATCCAATAATACCATATAATAATGCAGATCGAAAGGGTTGACGCGGAACGAAATAAAAGATCAATAGTAATGATCACGTGTGAGGGTGTAGTTATTTAATCCCAGGCTTTTATTCCCGCGGAGATCGTTTCCCAGGAAAAGCCGGGAGAAATTAACCGGAAAACGAACCGGGTACGGCCGTTAATAACAATAAAAATTTGCCGGTTCCCGCGAACGAGGATAGGAGCGCTCATTATCGTTAACGTCGGCTCGTTTTTAGGGTAATTGCGTGCACGGAGAGATCCTCTGAATCGGAGTGTTTAAAACACCGGGCACCTATCGCGTCATTATTCGTTGGCTTTTAATCAGCTCGGATTTTATTGGCCCCGACGCACGGTTAATTTAATTAGCATACGAGCTGAACCGGATTTCATGATAATTGGAACGCGATCACCTGTTATGTCTGAATTCTCCGAATTTTTAATGAATCTATAAGATTCCAGTGGTCGCTCGTCGAATAGTTCGGTTTGGAAAATTTATTCCCATCTCGCTTCAGTATTTTTTAATTAGAAAATCATACCGTCGAGATAATTAAAGCAGAGACTCTAATCACACGATTAAATTCTGTTTTTCATTTCAAACAGCGTCGAATATTAATCAACGTTCAATTAAATGTACGTTAAATAAAGATAGTGATAATTCAATAAGATTATTTAAATTAAAAATATAAATAATTATTTAAGTT